TGGAGGGTGAACCAACGGCAAAGGAAGACCTTTCTCTCTGTCTCTCTCTCTCTCTCTCACTGTCCACTCTGCCTGTCCAAAAAAAAAAAAAAAAAATCACAAGTGTTGAGGAACTCTGACAACAAATCAAAGAAAATGTGTACAAAAATGAATTTATTGCACTCAAAAACTGAGTGAAAAAAAAAACAGAGTAAGTTATCAGTGCTTTGGATGTGCTTATTTTTCAGAATGGGAAGGCGGGAGGGAAGAAAGATGTATAGATCTGAATATATTTTGTATTTAAAAACATGTAAGCTGAGTTACAACCATTCTTTTTTTTTTTTTTTTTTTTTTTTTTTTTGACAGGCAGAGTTAGACAGTGAGACAGAGAGACAGAGAGAAAGGTCTTCTTTCTGTTGGTTCAGCCCCCAAAATGGCCGCTACGGCCAGAGCTGCGCCGATCTGAAGCCAGGAGCCAGGTGCTTCCTCCTGGTCTCCCATGCGGATGCAGGGCCCAAGCACTTGGGCCATCCTCCACTGCACTCCCTGGCCACAGCAGAGAGCTGGACTGGAAGAGGAGCAACCAGGACTAGAACTCGGCGCCCATATGGGATGCCGGCCCCGCAGGTAGAGGATTAACCAAGTGAGCCATGGCGCTGTCCCCACAACCATTCTTATTAAATAACTGGAAGGATAGAAGGACAGTCACTATTTGGGCCTTTTAAATATTAAATCAATAGAAAAAAACTAGGAAGAATTTCAGATGTAAACAAAAGTTTTCAAGCCAAAATTAGAGTGACTTAGAAGGATTCAGTGCTGAGTAAGCCATAACTAAAAATTTATGGCACTATCCAAAAATACCCATGAAGGTACTGATGTACAATTTTTTCTTACTGTCACTTAAATAAGTCAAAAACTAACATATATTACCTTTTTAAGTTAAGAGATCTAGGCAAATATAATGTACAGAAATAACACAATGCCCCTCTCTAAGAACTACTGAAAAGATGTATTTTTCCTCCCAGAAGTGCATGTCAATAGCTCAATAACTATTTTCTCTAGCAAAACTAAGCATTTATTTTGACTTGCCTAACTGAACTACACTATAGGGTATTCAAATGACTGTGGTAGATTAGAGAAAATTCATCTATGTGTAAGAATTTCAGATAATAAATGTGGAAAGAATAAAAGAACAATGATGATTCAACATATGCAAATCAATAAACTTGATATATTACATGAACAAATTGAATAAAATCATGATTATCTTAGTAGATGCAGAGAAAGTACTTAATGAAATTCAACATCTTTTCATGATAAAAACCTCAAAGAAATTGGTTATAGAAAGAACATACCTAAATGCAATCAAGGCAATATATGACAAATCCCCAGCCAACATTGTACTGAATGAGGTAAAACTGGAAGCATTTCCACAAATATCCATAACCAGAGTAGGATGCTCACTCTCACTAGTATGCAATATAGTTCTAGAAGTTTTAGCCACAGTCAGAAAAATAAATCAAAGGGATGCCAATGGGAGAGGAGAAAGTCAAATTATCCCTATTTGCAGATGACATGAACCTATACATAGGGAATCCAAAAGACTCCACTAAGAGACTACTCAAACTCATAAGAGTATCTGGTAAGGTTGCAGGATATAAAATCAAGACACAAAATCAGTAGCTGTTGTATACAGAAACAATGACATAGGTGAAAAAGCTTGTAAGATCAGTCCCATTCACAATAGCTAAAAATATTTAAGTACCTTGGGATAAATTTAACCAATAACATGAAAGATTTCTACAATTAAAATTATAAAATATTAAGGAAAGAAATAGAAGAACCAAAAAATGGAAAAAAAGCTTCCATGTTCATTGATTGAAAGAATTAAGATCAAAAATATCCATACTACCCAAAGCAATTTGCAGATTTAGTGTGATACCAATCAAAATACCAAGGAAATTCTTCTCATATCTAGAAAAAATGACCCTAAAATTCATATGGAAACACAAGAGACCCTGAGTAGCTTAAACAATCTTAAACAATAAAAACAAAGCTGGAGGCATCACTATACCTGATTTCCAAGACATTCTACAGGGCAGTTATATTCAAAACAGCTGGTATTGGCACAAACATAGACATGTGTACCAATGAAACAGAATATAAACTCTAGAAATTAATCCACATATCCACAACGAACTAATCTTTGATAAATGGACTAAAACCATGCTCTGGATAAAGGACAGTCTCTTTGACAAATGCTGTTGGGAAAATTGGATTTCCACATAGAGAAGTGTGAAAGAAGATCTTTACTTTTACCCTACACAAAAATCAATTCATGTATTAAGGATTTAAACCTAAGACCTGAAACTACTGAACTACTAAAGGAAAACATAAAGGAAAAACTGCAAGGCATTGGGATGAGCAAAGATTTCCTAGATAAGACCCCAGAAGTACAGGTAAGGAAAGCAAAAAGAGACAATAGGGATTACACCAAGCTAAAAAGTTCCTGGACAACAAAGGAAATACTCAACAAAATGAAGAGGCAACTGACAGAATGAGAGAAAATATTTTCAAACTAAAATTGCTAAAGGATTAATATTCAGAATATGTAAGGAGTTCAAGAGACTGAACAACAACAAAACAAACAATCCACTTAAGAAATGGGCTAAGGACATGAACAGGCATTTTTCAAAGGATTAAATATAAATGGCCAATAGACATCAGGATCGGTAGCCATCAGGAAAATGAAAATCAAAACCACAATGAGGTTTCGCCTCACCCCAGTTAGAATCCACAGCAAGTAAATGTAAAAAGTAACAAATGTTGGTGAGGATATGGGGAGAAAGGTACCCTAGGATACTGTTGGTGGGAATATAAACTAGTACCATTATGGAACACAGTATGGAGATTACTCAGAAAGCTAAAAACAGAACTACCTTATGACCCAGCCATCCCACTCCTGGGAATTTACCAAAATGAAATGAAATCAGCAAATACAAGAGTGATCTGTGACCCCCTGTTTATAACTAAGATATGGAATCAACCCAGATGGCCATCAGCTGATGATTGAATAAAGAAAATGGGATATATACACAACTGAATACTACTGAGCCATAAAAAAGAATGAAACCTGTCTTTCACAACAAAATGGATGGAACTGGAAGCATTGTGCTTAGTAAAATAAGCCAGCCTTGAGAAAATAAAAACAAATATCATGTTTTCTCTGAGTTGTGGTAACAAATATATAGAGTATAAAAAAGGGCAATTTTTAAGTGTGAAATTGACATCTTGATATTTGATTATTGCTTATAGCCCTTATCGATACTCCTGAGAAACAGGGATCTTTCTACTTGCTACTTGATGAATTTTTTATTTAATGGAGGATTAAACTTGTGATTATAAAGTAAAGTGGAAAACAAAAGTATGGCATCACCAAAAATCAAAAGAAAAATCAGAAAGGAAGGAGGAGGGTAGGTGGGAATTATCATCATGTTCTTAAAACTATATAAATGAAACACCTGAAACCTGTTCCCTTTATATAAATAATTTTTTTAAAAAAATCACTGTTTTGTAATATTGGAGACATTCACAATGGAAGCACCTGCCCACCAACACTCCATTCAACTGAGCAATCACTAAACCCAGTAGAGCAGTCACTGGAACGGCAGACCCAGGCACGCTTGCCTCCTGAGGGGATGCAATATAAATTAATCCAGTACCAAGTATTCTTGGCAAACAAGCCAAAACATTAAGCTGGAGTGAATCAAATCTTTCGATATAATTTCCAAATAACTAAAAGTGCTGGGAAGAGAAGTTTGAAAACTCTTTTGAGAAAAAGTCTTCTAAAACATAAATTACTTGGAGAACGGCTTGTCCTGTATCTTGGTTGGATTCTGGGATATGTGGAGAGATGTGGAGGAAGAAGGAGCCGAAAATGGAAGCTGTGGTAAGTTCGTGGCGTTCCTTAAATGTTATACCAAGGACTCAGGATTTTACTCTCAACCCAGCATTTCCCAAAATGTTCTTGGGATATTGAGGTATGTTCTTCTCTTTTAAAAGGTGAGGTGGATATTCCATATTTTACATAAGTTTAGCAAACATACTCCTTTCGGTTAGTTAAATATTAATAACATTCATTAGCACTCTGCTATAGAAATACCTACTGGAATTTAACATAGCACTTCCAAAACTTAATGATTTTATTTGGAGTATTTTTCATCATCCTGTAAGAAAACAATCTAGAAAATATCACCCTAGGTGGAAACATCAATGAATCTCAGAAAGTGGCACTTGCTCTGGCCAGTATTTAGTCATTCATTCATTCATTCATTCAATCATGCATTTATCTGAAATGCAGAGAGGAATGGACACAGAGAGAATTAGACAGAGATCTCCCCTCCACTGGTTCACTCCTCAAATGCCTCCAGCAGCCAGAGTTTGGTCAGGCCAAACCTGGGAGCCAGGAATCTAATCCAGGTAGCCCATGAGGCTGGCAGGACCCAGCTGCTTGAGCCATCGCCAGATGCCCCCTAGAGTGTGCGTTACCAGGAAGGTGGAATCAGAGAGCGTCAAAACCATGTCTCAATTGCTGCACCAGACACCAGCCCCTGACCAGTATTTTCAGAAGATAACTCTAGTGGCAGTGAATTGGTAAAGCAAGAAAGATCAACCGTGAGTTGATCTTCATAAAACAGCTGAGGTGGTGGACAAATACACCATGGTCAGATGCACAAAGATCTGTTTCAAGCAATATGTTTAGATGTGGGGTCTTCAGAAAGTTCATGAGAAATGTCTGTTCTAAAAATTCCATGTGTAGCTTTCAGAATTTTTATACGAATTGATATTTTAATTCCTTTTTCATAAATTTTTGAAGTCCTCTCAAAGAGTAACATTTGCATATGTAAAAATCACACCTTTCATGGCCAAAATACAAAGCACATATTACAAAACAAATCCTACCCATGAGTTTTAATTTTTTCCTGCTAAACTTACGTAGGTCATTTCCGGGCTCTACTTACCCACAAGGCCTGTAGGTGAATACAATATAACTTTCTTCGTCACTTCTTTCAATGAAAGTCACACACATGTGCTTTTCCCAGTGTCTCATGGCCTGCTTGAACATGGCTCGCTGGCTGCCTGGAAAAATTGAACGATGTTAATAAAAGTGGCCACCACCCCAGAGAGGAGTGCTGTGTGCTGGCTCCTCCGATCTGTGTGGCTTGGTGATATACAGATGCCACTGCTATCATCAGCCAACGACTACAGATTCATAGCACCACAAACGAGTCCTTGTTGAAAACGGGCACTCCCTTTATAATCAGAAGATGAAGGCTCCTTCACTCTGCACATGTGTGTACAAGTCTCTATAAATGGGACATACATTCTCCCTGTCAGTTGAAAGGAGATCAGCTTCCAGATTTCATGGGCACATTTGAAATTCAGTTTAAAAACAAAATCGGGGGGTCGGCACTATGGTGTAACAGGTAAAGCTGCCACCTGCAGTGCTGGCATCCCACATGGGTGCTGGTTCGGGTCCCAGCTGCTCCATTTCCTATCCAGCTCTCTGCTATGGCCTGGGAAAGCAATAGAATATAGCCCAAATCCTTGGGCCCCTGCACCCACGTGGGAGACCGTGAAGAAGGTCCTGGCTCCTGGCTTCGGATCGGCACAGCTCCAGCCATTGCTGCCAGCTTGGGAGTGAACCAGCGGATAGAAGACCTCTCTCTCTCTCTCTGTCTGCATCTGCCTCTCTTAACTTTGCCTTTTAAATAAATAAATAAATCTTAAAAAAAATGGAACTCTACACTCTTAGAGCACAAGGTTAAATTTATTTTTTTAATTCAAAAACATTTTAAACTAATAACCTAGGTTAACGGAGTGTTTTTACAAGTATGATTTCATACTCTGTTTTTGACGATATCCTACGAACATGCACACTTAATCTGTATGACAGCTTTTACTTCTCCATCAAAGTAAACATTCTGAGAATAACTTACCAGTGAAGTTGCCTCCAATAACGTAAGGAATAACACCTCCAGGCCAGATTCTCTCAGTTCTTGATGTGGCAGCTCTGGGAACTCGGTTTTTCTCATTTGGCCCTGAGAATTTTTGAGGTACTTTTCCCTTAACTGTGCTGTTTTGCTCCAAGCCTGCAATGACATTTAAAACATTCTGTGAAACAGACGTCCTGGGTCAGGGAACCGTTTACCTCTTAAAGGACAAAAGATGAAATGTCTTATTTACATATGTATATAAATCAAGGCACATTAAAGAAAAACTTGGGATATTACATGCTTGAGAGGAGCATTACAATGTAGAAATATCCACATCAAAACATTATTTATTGAGATCCCATCGATGAGTTTTGATGAATCTCCAGACAACAGCCTACACCAGACAAAACTTAGGTCATAGAAAAATTGTTGATGTTTGCTAACTTGGTAGTTCACTAACAATGTACAAACAGGTAATAAAATATATATTGCTACCCTGAATATCCTATGATACCCAAAACTAGCCTTACTCATGCTAAACTTCCAATATTTAAATCAGACTGCTATTTGTATGAAAGCCTAAAATTATGAATATTACATTTTATAGACAGTAAAATAACATCAAGATAGAGACAGTCTGGGTCCAGTTGGGACGAGGAACTCTGTCCATCTTAATCTCCTCCTCATCACGATTTAGAGGTCAACACAGGCTAACATAAAACACCGTCTAATCTGGAGCAGCTTTCACGGCTACAGGTTTCCTCTTTTCTTAATATTTATTTATCTGAGAAACAGAAAGTCAAAAAGGGACAGACACAGATAGATAGGTTGTCATCCACTAGGTGACTCCCCAAATGCTGCCAACAGCCAGAGCTGGATGAGCATCAAAGCTGGGAACCAGGAGCTCAGAACATGGGCAGCAAGGACACAAGTACTTGAGCCCTCATCCGCCTGGCCCCTCTCAAGATGTACATTAGCAGGAAGCTGGAATTGGAAGCTGGACTTGAACTCAGGCGCTCTGATATGGGAGGTGGCCATCTTAACAGCTGGGCTTAATGCCCACTCCCTATACTTACTTTTTTTTTACTTTCCTTAGTACCTTTCATAATATTTTTTACTGTTTTTGTTTTTCTTAAATTTGCTTGATTATTCTCTTTATTCAATTATTACTATTGGTAGAAAAGCTCTCCCACTGTGCTCGCTTCAGCAGCACATATACTAAAATTGATAAAGCTCTCCCACTAGTACACACATTAACATTACATACATTAAATGTCTCTAACACGTCTTCTTTTTTTTTTTTCAATATTCTGGAGCAAAGCATCTTTGCTTGGGAAAATTAGTAACTTAAAGTATGTACTTCAAGTATTTAATGACCAACTTAAGGGATGTTCGGATGTGAGCTATGAGGAGAGGGCTTTTACATAAACTCTTAACTACAAATAGTGACTAATAAACACTATAAATACTAATCATGAAACCAGAAGGTAGTTTTCATGAATGTTTACATATATTTCTCCCAAAGATTCAAAACATTTTAAACTATTTTGCAACCTAATAAATTAGTTTGTTAACTTTTAAGTAGATTTTTTTCAAGACAAATATTCATGACTTTTAAAACATTTAATTGAGATTGAATCAGCTCCATGCTTTATATAAAAACTTTGGTGTGATGTCCAATTAACTGAAAATTAGTATCAACAATAAAATAAACAAACGCCAAATCAATTTTCACTTGGGAAAAGCCTGAAATAAGTTAAGGGAACATTTTGAAATTTCCTATATAATGAATGAGCCAACAGATATGAACCAACAGAACAAAAAAGAATAAAAGACCCTCAACACATATTCTTTGCATCATACTGCATACTGATTTCAATGAACTGAACTGCTATGAGTATAATATTTACTGTACATCAAGTCAAGCGTCTGCAACTTTAAACATTGATATACCAGAGCCGATTCTTCTGATCCTGTCTATAAGCTGGTAGAGGGCTCCTCGTTTCTTTGATACACCATGATCTCCAAGTCCACCTTAAAGAATCAAAGAAAACAATTAAGTTACATTTAGCGTACTTTTAGACTTATTGCAAATAATTAATGGTAATAGAGTACATTGATTATGCTTGAACATCTTTTTGCATGTGCTATTAAAGTATTAGAGTTATGAGTAGCCATAAATCTTTGTAGAGGGTAAAAATTCTATAGCAACAAATGAAGATAACTAAAAATAAGGTGGGGGAGCAGAATTCAGAGAGCAACGTAAATGACTTTATTTGGACATTAAGATAATTGAGTCATCTGTTGCTAATGTGAAATGTTTTTCTTCACTGTGACCTTGACATCACATGCTGTTATACAGAATGACAGCAAGGAGTTCTGTCCTACTTGATTGCATTCCAGCTCTTTCCCCAGTGCAAACTGAATATTTCCAGAGGCCAAATTAGCAAGTGGAAATAAGAACACTGGAAGAGAAAATATGCATCACCAAGTTTTGCTCCGAAGTTTTCACCAAAATTGAAAACTTTTAAAAAGCATATCTGTAAACCTTTTAAAAAATAGTTTCTCTCATCCATAAAAACCAATAATCTATCATTAGAAAAAAATCATAAGAATCCAAAAACAATGTTCACCTGCAAAATACATTCTGCTATGCAAAGTAATTTGAAAAATTTATAAAAATAGATGTGCACAATTTGGTTGTACAAAAAGAAGATAGAAATAAATAAATGTGTCTTCGTGCAATTTACCAGATAGAGACTAGAAAAAGTAGGTTCATATCATAAGTCAAACAGCATAACATTCAACACAAATCCAAGCTCCATAATTCTTAACTTGGGGTTTCCTAAAATGCAATATGCAATTTTATCACCTATTTCTTTAAGTTCTTAATCAATAAGCGAGAAATATTTGTCACTAGTAATGTCATTAGAACAAGTACAGATGAAATTCTATCACTATCACTAGAGTGTCTGGTGTATTCATGGAGTCTTTTCGGGCTAAGACAATGAAAGGCAGCCCAAAATCCACAGAGAAAGAAAACTTTTCAAACTTTAAGCTATTTCCTTCCAATATCTACTTTTCCTTTGAAATTAATGCTGAAACCTAATTTCCTATATTGGAGCTAAAAAATAATAATAACATCTATTTCCGTACAAGTCCTTTAAAGGAAAAATCACTTAAGTCCTTATAAGGTAAGTAAGTTAGAGTGCTTGTTCAGTGGCTAATAACCTGCTTAATTGTTTGCATTACTTGGTCACATTTCTGCTATGCATCTTCAGAAACATTTTTGAAATTTTTCACTGAACATTCTAGCAAGATGAGATAATACTTAAACATATCCATTCCTAAGCAGTTACAAGAAACATTTTTAACGTATGGCATCTATGTGTTTTAAATGACCATTATGTAGCAACCATTTGTGTTAGATGGGCCTGAAACAGATATAAATAGATTTAGGAGGGAACTAATCATGAGAAAAGAAAATGTCTTCATTAATATTATAGTAATTATAAAGAGTAATTACCAAATTGCAAAAAATATTGTTTCAAGAGCATCAGTGGCAAAAGTGTTTCTAGCAATATTTTTAGCAATTTTGAGTAATTCTATAGCAACTGAAATATAATTATGTGTAGGTAGTTCATTGAAATATAAAAGGAAGAAGAGTGGTTATTTCGTACATGTTCTAAAACATAATGAAAATGCAAAACAAATTTTTACTGAAAAGGCCATATATTTTGAAATTGAAAAATTCTGAGAAATGCAATAAAATCTGTACAGACAAATTAATATGAATAAAAAAGACATAGTAAGAAAAAATGCTATACTTGTACATTGTTTGAATTTCAAAACTTTCAAACACGTGTACCTTTCACACACATTTTTAGTAAATATTTTTACCATTAGGAGTATATGTTTTACTCTATAGATTTAAAACTACAGTATATTCCTCTAACTATTAAGATATCACTTTAACCTTAAAAATGATAAAATTAAATAATAGTATTAAAAATCTTAAATCACAGAAAATTAATGCCTGTAGAGACTGAAGCTAATAAAAAGTTTAATAAAAGTTGAACATACAATTTAAAATAAATCTAGAATTTTGCTTGAGTTGTATCATTGTTTTCCTGTCCCTATACAGTTGCCTCCATGTCAGTGTCAAGTGTAACATAGCAGAGACTCTGCCAATGGACATATTCTTCAGGAATTTAGAATGAGTGATTCCACTGCAAAATAAGACTTTCCCCCTACGTTGTGAGTGCTTCAGAAATGATGACCACTCTAAATAACAAAGGCACACCATTTTTAATATTGCTACTATTTTGAACAAATTTCTTAGGTTTCATCTTACATGTTTGTTACTTCAAATAATCGCCATAGATGTGACAGTAGCATTTTGATTACCTAGGATCTTCTTATTCTTCGACAGTGCATGCTAAACTACCTAATATTAAAGTGTTATATTTTATATAATTAATGTAAAAATGTTGCTTTATGCACACTTACACATGTATATGCACACACACACAGGGCATATATGATAAACTAATGAATCCAAGAATTGTACTACTCTGGTGGTCCTTGCATGTCCTATCAACTTTTCCATTTACTAAAAATTTGTAACAATAAAAAGTTACTGAAAGAGAAAATCAGGTAAACAGATATTGACAGTCTGTATCTGTCTGCTAGATACCCGAAACTATATATTTTACTATATATTTTACTCTCCATGGACAGAAAAAGAAAATAAAAATGGTAAAGGTGGACAGGGGAAATGCAATGAGATCAAAAAGCATTAAATCAAGTAAATTTGGAAGGTATAACCAAAACAAGAAACTTTAACCTTTCAATCTTTCTCCAAAATTTAACATGAATTAAAAAAAGAATTTTTTAATTAAATAAAAATATTTTAAAAATGAAAAGAAGAAAATCTTTTAAATATTTCAAGTCTCACATAGGCATAATTCAACATGTTCAAAACAACTGAAATTACATTCTGGAGTTTTCATAAACACTGAGTACACAGACATCAGTGTAGATATTGATGGAGTCTTCTCAACCAACAGCTATATAATTAAGAATAATTTACATTCTGCAACTGATATCCAGTTGGAAAGCAACATAATATCATGTTCAAGAGTATGAAATCTGGGCTTTCTCAGAATTGAACTCTGGGGCTGACTCAGGTACTTCCTGACTCTGACAACAAGAAATCATCTATCTGCTCACTTGTGAATCACGATAGTATCAGTACTTACCCTCCTGCGGTTGCTATGGGTACTCAAAGAGTTAAGATCTCCATATGGTCTAAGCCAGGTCTGTACAGTGTGAACACTACAACGTGTTGACTAAATTAACATGATGAAAAATATGAATATAATCTCAGTTTCGTAATATGTTTATTTGTGTGCAGGAAACCACAGGTGATCTTCGGAACATTGAAAATGACTCAGTGTAGCTACAAAATTTCAAAAAGTATATTTCATACAAAAGGAACACAAAGTAAATGAAAAAATCAACTGTACCTGTGGTATGTCCAAACTGTCCAAAAGGATTCTGTGTAAGATCAATCGTCCTATCTATTTGAAAGATATTTAAGTCTTCATCATCTAAGGCAATATCACCCCAAAATACAGCTAAAAAAGAAAAATCGAATTGAAATGTAAAATATTTCAGAGTGAAATCAGTGCAAACGAAACTAATTAGAAAACAATTCTATTCCTAAGGAAATATGGCCCAGAAAGAGACAGATATTTCACAAAGTAACTAGAACTTAATTTCCAGACTCATTACCAAGTAAGTATTAGGCAACTGTAGAAGAGCAAGACCCCCATATTTTTACTTTAATGTTTGTGGGGAGGAGAATAGTTTCTTTGAATGAGATCAGCGATTCATGGGCGTTCTAGGAAAAAAGAAATCATCAATCATGAGCTACTCTACAAATACCAATATGTGAACATCTGATGAGAGATCGCCATACTGTTTTCTATGATGGTTCCATTAATTTGCATTCCCACAAACATTATATAGAACTTTATATATAGAGAGAAGGCCCTTTTCTCCAAAATTTAAAGAAAGACAAATAGTAACGTTTTCTCCTATTTGTGGAAGTTAATATAGACAGAATATAAAAATTGTGTAGATGTTGTATTATTTGGCATGGAGTTATAAATACTGCTCACTGAATTATACCATGCACATGACAATAAACCTTTATTTCCCCACTGTATGATCACTGCCATAAATCCCACAGTTTGTGATAATACTATCCTGGCTTTCAAGAAACATAGTATTTATATATGTACGTATATAGTATCTACATACAAAGTGAATTTGGCAAAACGCTAAAAATCACTCAATCGTAAAATTAAAATAATAGTTTTTTCAAAGAAAAGAAAATCTGATGAGAATGCCTGCATTTTCTGTGGGTGCTTGTGGCCCTCAGCATGTCTTCAGCGACAGGTGGAAGGAGGTGCAGTAACAACTAATGCATGTGCTATGGTAATTTGAGAAAGCAAGGTGCAATCAAGACATGAGAATACTGTGCTTTTCCAGCCACTCATTCATTGTAGTTCACCCATAAATAATGCTCTTCCCTAAAGATGGCGTTGCCTCAGAATCTCCATCAACAACACATAGAACTATCAACAGCAATACTTAAGTCAACATGTATTTAGCCCACAACCAAGTGTCGGGCCTTTGGTCTCCAATGACAAACAAGGCATGGCCACATCATCAGGAATCCTAAAATCACTGCCCTAAAACGTGGAAAGACAGTTTGCTCTATGTTTATACCGGGTGTGTTTTGCTACTTAATAAAGCAAAGCTCTACCAATCATTTTGAAGTAATGGGAGAATTCATTTATAACTAATGTGTAAACTTGTCTCAAGATCAAAAATACACATTAGCCTACTTGTTCATTGAGTCCAGACAAGACCAACCAACCCCTTAGTGCTGCCAGATGAAAATGCAATAACTTTAGAAAACACACCAACCCCAAGACAGAAAATAAGTTAATCAAGAGATAACAAAATATTGACAAATTTCTAGAAAACTTGGAATATTTAGTTTTTGACACAGTTCTACAAATTTTCTTTTTTGTCCTTAACTTTCTTCCAGTCTTATTTTGTAAAGCCAAGAGGGAAAAGAGGAAAATGCAATAAAAATTTAGGAAGTGACATACTCGAGGCTATTCAAGTCACACTTTTACTAAATTAGCATTTTAGTATTTATGAATTTTTAGCACCATGAAACATTAGCTAACAAAATTAGCCAGCATGAAATGTAAACATTTGTCTTAAAAGCTATGCCATCCTTTATGCTTCTATCAAAGTTTTGTCATATAAAATTATTTACTCAGTTTATTTCCCTCACATAAAACTGGCATGAGGTAAGGAAGGGATTAGATTTACGCAGAAATCTAGAAGAAACCAGAATTTAGCTCAAAGTGTGTTGTCAGTTCAAGTAAGAGAAATCTGTATCAGAATTAGAATGCTCTCCTCAATCCTTTTCTCCTTTCTATTGTGAGCTTCCTACAGTGAAGATGTGCTTATCTTCATTGTCATAGAAACAAAGAGAAGAGTTTAGAGAATGCAATACTCAAAAGTTATTCTTGATACCTGAAATTGATTCCTGATTCTAATCAGTTCCATACACACGAAGCAAAAAGCTGGAATGTTTGGATGTCCCTAAAGCTAGACACCCCAAGAAACATGAGGGGTCTTCAAAAAGCTCATGGAAAATGTACTTTACAAAAAAAAATCTATACATGGATTTCAGATTTCTTTGCACCAAAATAAACTTACGTCCTAATTCCATTTTCTACAAACTTTCTGAAGTTCCCTAAAGCCAGCTTGCCTAAATCAATCATTTTGCCAATGCACGACTTGCTGGTTTTCATAAAAATGAATTTCATATTACCTGTCAAGATTTAAGGTAAATCCGAGTTTGCTAGTTATTTAAAACTGACATCATGTGTATTACCATGCAAAGAGTTGCGGCCAGTAACTGGCAGAGACCCAGCCCATCTCTTCCTTTCTCGGTGCAAGGGGTAACTGCAGAGAGAAAAACAGCATAGCAACCAGAGCCCACTGCTTAAAATGCAGACGGATTTAGCAGATCTGAAGAGCAGCCCCAGATCCTGCATTGTTAACTCCCAATTACAACAGATGATCATCATTGTCATCCTCTTTCGGAGCATGGATTTTTTTCTGCAAGAATGAACGTTCACTCTTCTCTGAATAAGCCGGTTGACTGGAAAACGGAGGCATCCAACCAAGCAGAATGTAGCTTGTCAGAACTGCATTTGATATAATAAAAGTAGCACCAGTGAAATAAAACTCCAATGTGTTTCAGATTTTTATTTCCTCCTAATGACTTTTCCCATGCAGTAGGATTCCTGTCTTGATGGATTATATAAAACACAGATCAGAAGTTCAAGTATAAATCACTTCACAGAAGCAAAAGCATTACTAGTGGGGAGAGGAAAAGGTACAAGGCTAGCTGATACTTAGAAGGAGATGAAACCATTCTGCAGTACATAAACGCATTTTATTTATTGCTTTTTTAAAAAAATTTTTTTTTGGTAAACTAACAGCTTCACAATAGTTTGGCAGTTTTGCATATGACATAAACTGCTCTTGGAGAAAACCAAATATTTCTTTGAAAGTAAGCAACAATGATTGACCAAGGCAATTCATTTATGTGCAGATGTGATGTGCTGCAGACCATATATGTCACTAAACCTTGATATTATTAATAAAGAAAAAAGACATTTTAGTATTTCCAGTACATCTTATAGTTTAAAATGCATAATATTTTCTTTATGTGGCACATGGTTGAAAATCTCCTTAACTCACTTCTTCCTAATTCTAAGTGTCCTATTTCTGAAAGCCAAAATGTTTTACTTATGCATTGGTAAAGCACTGGACCAATGGACATTGTATATATAACAATGTGTGTTAATTGTACATAGAAAAATGTATGTTATGTATTTGACATTTAGGGAAAAAGTGGTATATGTGATTCTGAAGTCTTATTTAGAGTTTTTTTGGTTTTCCATTCTATTTGGTATTTTCTATTTATTTTACATCAAAAAACAAAAGTTATAGAGCAAAGTTTTAAAAGTATGAATTATCGTTCATTTGGTCCATTTAATACAGTGATTTGAGGTTAGTGAGATCAGAACTAAAAACAATATGGGAAATGGGTTCTAAAGGACAATTTCTAGGGAAATGTTCAAGTGCAATTAGAATATTTACTATCTGTTTGGAATTCTTCTTGGATTCCTATGGTCAAATGGGAGCCGAAGCTAACCAATAGGCCAAAATTAAATGTCAGAAAGAACAATTTTTAAACTTCACAGAAAACCGCAGGTTCTGTTTTTCTCCTAAAGGTCATTTGCCTTTAATGTACTAGAAAATTTTCAAAAGAATCAGAGACCAGGAAAGAGAGTGCTTTTATTACATTACCCAGTGTAGACATACTTCATGAAATAATAGACATTGAGAATAAGCCATGTTAAGACTATTATTCCTACACCCTAACTCTGAGAAGCCTTGAACTTCTAACTTCCTGAACCCCCAAGAACCTTTTGTCCTTCCATTCTGGAGCTGGTATCCAGGGATCAGCTTAAAGGAGGCTAAAGTCTGTGATTTAAAAAAAAAGTATGCAAGAAATATGGATGATTTTATAAACACTGACACCACATACTCTTCTGGGGAGAGGTCCATGGTACATTGTCAAAAGAGATCACACAAAGTAAATGTAATCACTTTTGCCAAAAGCAAATCCTTTCAGTCATCTTGGGAGAAAAAATTTGCATGCCAAATGCCCTCAGGAAAATGAAAATATGATTGAATTAACACTAAATATCTGATGTGTGGCTACCACTTGATAGCACAGGAAGAGAGAGTTTGCAGGCCTATCCAGCCTATCCAGAAATGCCCCTTCCCACAGTGTCCTGACTCTGTTTCCATCCATAATTGGCCAACACACTGGAATTCATAATGTTGCTTTTACTCATCTGTTTAATTTTGAAAATGCTGACCATGCCGGCGCCGTGGCTCACTAGGCTAATCCTCTACCTTGCGGTGCCGGCACACCGGGTTCTAGTCCCGGTCAGGGCACTGGATTCTGTCCCGGTTGCCCCTCTTCCAGGCCAGCTCTCTGCTGTGGCCAGGGAGTGCAGTGGAGGATGGCCCAAGTGCTTGGGTCCTGCACCCCAAGGGAGACCAGGAAAAGCACCTGGCTCCTGCCTTCTGATCAGCGAGGTGCGCCGGCCGCGGCGGCCATTGGAGGGTGAACCAATGGCAAAGGAAGACCTTTCTCTCTGTCTCTCTCTCTCACTGTCCACTCTGCCTGTCAAAAAAAAAAAAATGCTGACCACATAGGGAGCATAAGTGGGCCACCTGTACATTCTCAATGCCAAAGTGCCCGAAATAAATATGAGGGTACTTCAAAAAATTCATGGAAAATGAAATGCAACAATCCTCCTTATGTCTTCAATATATAAATATATATTTTGGTGCACAAAAATTGTGAATGAGAATACACTATGGATTGAGGTATAAGTTGTATGACACAAAAATGAAGCTAGGTGGGCTATATATTTGACAAATTTGCCTTAAAATCAAAATACTAGATATTTAACCATTCCAAATAATGAGTATTTCCAAATCCTTCAGTCTTCTAATCTAGCATGTTACTGCTGTATGCCTTTTGTTACCAACTAAAAGGAAGCTATCTTTCTTTTGAATTATAACATTGTACACTACTAAGTCCAGTTACAGGTAAAGTTCTGTTCTCATCACTTAGATGATCAGGAAGTACATGACTGAGCTAGGAGATCACTTATCTTGAAGTTTATGGGAATGGGAGAGAGAGCTCCAAGCTCCCATACCAGCCAAGAGGGTCTGCTCATTGTACTTGTTCTATAGAGTTCACACTTACTGCTTTCCCTGACACTGCCTTTGCCTACAGAGCTGGCATCCCATATGGGGAACCATCGAGTCCTGGCTGCTCCACTTCTGATCCAGCTACCTGCTAATGCACATGAGACATCAGTGGAAGAGGTCCCAAGCAGTTGGGCCTCTGCAGCCATGTGGGAGACCTGGAAGAAGTTCCTGGCTCCTGGCTTCGTCCTGGCCCAGCCCTGGCTGTTGCAGTCACTTGGAGAGTAAACCAGTGGATGGAAGATCTCTCTCTCTTTCTCTCTCTGTATTTCCGACTTTCAAATAAATAAATAAAATCTTAAATAGAAAAGAGAAAAAAAACTAAGGCCAACTACCCAACCCCATAGACATACATAGAAAAAAAGAAAAAAAAAAGGGGATGGGGATAGCTGGAGACTCACTGCTCCTGAGCTCATTCCTATCCCATTCTGGGCCACTGTGATTTATTTATTTGTTCCCTTGGATAATGGTGCCTTAGGTCCCACTTTCTCCAGGATGCCAACTGCACAACATTATCTTATGAATGTTCACTTGCTTTTTTTGATATAGATATTCTAGTTTTGTATTTTTGACATTTTAATCTAAGGCTCTCATTCCTGCACTGTGTTCTCAAGTGCATGAGGCAATCTCAGGGATAAGTCAGCAGCAGCTCCAGGTCTGCACAGCAGGAAAACCTTTTGTTGCTTTTATCACCATGGAGAGCAACTATCTGGAGTGCGAAGCTACTGAACTACCTTAGTTTGCCTAGTAGAGCTGGCTTTTTTGCCAGTTTTGTCTTGAAACCCCCTCCACCTTAAAAATGGTTCACAGGTGATGAAGTGTTAATTGGGTTTCCCCATGACTTGATCTCCTCTTCCCAGAAGATTGAAAATTAGTCTAATCAGGACAAGGCAGTGCAGAGAAGTTAAGAGAGGCTGAGCCAGGTGAAAGGGCCAGAGAGGAAGCCATGGTTAGGGTTGCCTGATCCTAGGACACGGGTCTTTTGCTTCATATAACAGATCCATCCCTCACCAGATTAGGCCAGGCCCACTATGAACAACAAGGTGTGTGTGCGTGAGTGGGTGTGTGTGTATGTGTACACATGTAAAAATATGAGCTGTAAAAAAATGTGAGTGTGTAAAAATTGTGAGCTGGTAAGGATGAGTTTGAAGACCAATCCCCCTGTACCCATCATGTGATGTCCCGAGATAGAATCATGAAGCAGGTGCCAGCTGTGGCACAGCGGTTGGTTAACACCCTGGCCTGAAGCACCGGCATCCCATATGAGTGCCAGTTCGAGACCTGGCTGCTCCACTTGCAATCCAGCTCTCTGCTATGGCCTGGGAAAGCAGTAGAAGATGGCTCAAGTCCTTGGGCCCCTGCACCCACATGGAAGACCCAGAAGAAGCTCCTGGCTCCTGGCTTCGGATCGGCCCAGCTCTGGCCGTTGTGGCCAACTGGGGAGTGAACCATTGCATGGAAGACTTCTCTCTCTCTCTCTCTCTCTCTGCCTCTCCTTTCTGTGTAACTCTGACTTTCAAATAGATAAATAAATCTTTAAAAAAAATCATGAAGCAAGGATTAAAAATCCTTAACCTTCCCAAAGTCTTGGCTTCCAGGGAGACCTATAAGTGAGAGCCTCAGGGGTATGCAGAGCCAGTGACCTGCCCTGTGACAGTAGTGATTACTATTGCCATGGTAACTGAACAATTAAAAAGGTGGTTTGTTTACATGCTGAGAGATCATGCAAACCTATCTCGCTGTGCTGAAACATGACAAATGCAACAGAACGCACTGGGTGATGTGTGTCTGGTCCTAGGTTCCTGTCTCCCCCAAGTGCTGTCCCTCCTTTAGTTACTCTAGTTGTCTGAACTTTGTAGGACTTCACTGAGTCTCTATGTTGGTGATTGCTAGGTGGCCTAGTTTGTGTATATATAACATGTTGGCCTTTCTCCATGTTCTTTTGGGGTTTTATTGTTTATAAACTTCCTTTTGTATTGAGAGAAAGACAGCCAGAGCACCAAAGCATCTCTGGCAGAAGGTTCTGCACCAGGCAAAAGGATCTGGATCATTAAGTTCGAGGGCCCTCTTCTTGAAGTGGGGATCTGAAACCATCTTCTCTTGTGTTCCCCTTCCCTTATCCTATTTTAGATTTTCTGTCCTCAAAATTTGACTCCTACCCTTCCCACTTCACCATTCCTCCATCCATAAAAAGAAACCAACACATCCATACATAAGCATTTAATTCTTGGGGTGTCTCCACAACTCTAAAGGATTCATGCAAAAAAAAAAAAAAAACCCTGAAAAATAGGAAACCTCTATCCCTTGTCCCCAACCTCCAGAGTCAAAATCATTTCTTGATGTAATTCACACCAAAAACTTAATTTATCCATGCTTATGGATGGATCAAACCTTCCTAATTTGTATCCTAAAGAAGAGGAGCTACTAGGGAACTTCTGTGTAAAAAGTGGGGTTTGGAGACCAGGAAGAAGATTATGATTGTATTTCCAAGTTACTCAAGGACTTCTTGCAGGTGTAAGAAACTTACGTCAACGTGGCCACAAGATTGTTTGATAGGAGACGGACAAATGTAACTCTATGTTTACTGCTAGAAACCAAAGATTTGTGTGAATTCTTGAATTTATGGAGAGGGGCAGTAAGAAAGCTTGTGTCTTCTTTGTCATGAATCTCTTCCACTCACTGCTGAGTTGCTGAAGACGAAGTCGCACTGGGGTGTGCTTATTTGAAGACTGATTTATGCTATACTGGGTGCTTCTTTTCCCATTTTCTAATCACTCTGTAATACATATGCTGGCTGTCCCCATCCTTTCTCCTTCCCTGGAAAAATACAATGAATAAACCAAGACTTATGGGTTAAGAAAAGACAACATAGGTCAAAAGGTAATATTCAGTTATCATAAGCCAGATGGGGGCAATTATTGTTACGCATGGTAAGGCTGTAGTCCCATACAGGAACTGTAACCTTCAGAAAATTATGAGATAGTTTACAGAACAAGGTTTCTAGGGAACAAAATGGATGGGCATCTAACCAAGGGCATCATTCAGCATACACAATCAAAAGATATGAAGACTGGATAAGCAAAAGTGGTTACTCATTACCCTCAACAAATTATATTCCTCAGCTTCATGATATGAGCTAGTTTTCTAACCTGGAATCTATATGCTGAGGAAGGAACAGAATTATAAGAGCAGCAACCTTGAAGCATCATGAAAAGAATACAAGACAGTGAATCTGCAGTCCTTTCACCGAGAGCCCTACACCCACACCCTTTGATAACCACACGCAGACATTTTAGGGGTTGTCAGAAAGAGGGTCATTGGCAATGACACTGGGGAACCCAAGAGCTTTCCTGGGTCTCCTGTTAGAGTGGAACTGTGGAGCAACTAAGAAATGGAGTCTTGGCCCAAGTTTGACTCATCGCATATTCCACCTCTGACGGAACATGAGAGGAAGATGCCCATTAAAAGTGAATCAGGGCTGGCACCATAGGTCAATAGGCTAATCTTCCACCTGTGGCGCCGGCACACCGGGTTCTAGTCCCGGTCGGGGCGCCGGATTCTGTCCCAGTTGCTCCTCTTCCAGGCCAGCTCTCTGCTGTGGCCAGGGAGTGCAGTGGAGGATGGCCCACGTGCTTGGGCCCTGCACCCCATGGGAGACCAGGAGAAGCACCTGGCTCCTGCCTTCGGATCAGCGCGGTGCACCGGCCACAGCGCGCCGGCCGCAGCGGCCATTGGGGGGTGAAACAGCGGAAAAGGAAGACCTTTATGTCTCTCTCTCACTGTCCACTCTGCCTGTCTAAATAAATAAATAAATAAAAATTTAAAAAAAGTGAATCAGAAAGAGAACATTAACAAATTCTTGAAGAGTGAATGTTTGTTAGGATCAGAAAAGCTGGGGAGCTGCATCACTCCCAGTGACCCACTGGAGATCCGAGCTTCTCAAATTACATGGCTCTGGATCTCTGGATTCAGAGAGCTTCGTTCACGGAAGTTAGTCGTTCTACCAGAAGACATGGCAAGAATGCCACTGACATGCAAGCTAAGGTCGTTACCCATGAACTTCAGGTGCGTTGTGCCGAGGGACCAACAGGACTCAGCACTGACTGTGAATGCAAAAGTTACGGGCTATGATGGTTATGGTCAAGGAGGTGGGAGTAGGGGGCAGCACTAAGTAATCCATGTGGATCAGCCGAGGGGACTCCAATACTGCCCACAGAGAGTATGTCCTTGGACAGATAAATCCCTCAAGAGTTGTCATTCCTGTTTCATATGGTAGACATTAGCTCTCCAACAAACCAAATCAACTGTATGTATATTATGTATTTTTCAAATCAGAATAATTATAATCATGTAAATCATAGAACATTACATTTTTAAGAAGCACATTTTGGAACAAGAAATCTAAGTGAAATAGTAAAGGTAATATTCCTAGAGTCATGTCATATGTGGTTAAAAGAATATCAACTTTTTGGCTCTTGGCTTCTCTCTCTCTCACCTCCTCTCACTCCTCTCCCTCGCTCTCTTCCCTGCGCTCTCTGCTCTCCTCTCCTCTCTCCCTCTCATCTCTTTTCTCTCTGCTCTCTCTCTTCTCTCCTCACTAGCTCCTCTCCTCTCTGTCTCTCTCTTATACTCTCCTTGTCTTTTGCCCTCTTCACCCCTTCCCTCCAGTCTGCTGGGTTTTCCCCAATAAACCCTTTCCCTTAAAAAATTTTTAGATGATAACATTCTTATGAAACCTGTGAAAAAAAAATTTTAAACCCAATCTTCTACAACTTTTACTTTGTGAGGAGAAAGTAAGACTTGGGCATGGGAAATAATATTATCTAACGCAGCTTGGATATCTTAAATAATTCACTGCCTAAGAACAGTATGTTTGGCCACATTCTAGTTCAAGATCATACTGGATTTCCATGGGATCATTTCCAAAATGAGTATGAATGTGTACGTTTGAACTTCTTCTTTCATACAGTTAGAAATTAAAGCAAGGAAGATTCCTTAAGGAAACAACACTGTTACAGTTTTTTTACAGCATGTTACTTATAAATTGAGCATCTTTAGACACAAATGTAGAGAATCACAAATATCTAATTATAAATATTAATCAGCAAAGACTAAGCCTTTAAAATTTTTAAACAATGTGATACTCCCATATGTTTAGTTTTGCCTTGCTTTCCTATACTTTGAGAGTCTCATCCAAGAAGTCATCACCTACACCATTTTCTTGTAATGTTTCCCCTACATTTTCTCCTAGCAATTTCATAGTCTCAGATCTCAAATTTACGTCTTTGACGTATCTTTGGTTTTTGTATGTGGTGAGAGGTAGGATTCTAATTTCATTGCTCTACATACTTACATCCAGTTTTTGCTAGCACCATTTACGGAAACAACTATCCTTTCTCCAGTGTCTGTTCTGGGCATTTATCTCAAAAAACAATTGGTTGTGTGTATGTAGTTAATTTCTGGATTCTCTATTTTATTCCATTTACTTATGTGCTGATTTATATACCAGTACTACACTGTTTTAATTATGATAGCTTTTGTGGTATAATTTGACATCAGGCATTGATTATGATTCCTGTAGCCTGACTTTTTTGCTCAGTATTAGTTTAGCTGTTCTGGGATCTTGCAATTCCATATGAATTTCAGAATTATTTTTCTAATTCTGTTAAAAATGTCATTGATATTTTAATAGGGATTGTACTTAATCTGTAGATTGTTTTGGGTAGTAGTACAGATATTTTAATGACAGTAATTCTTCCAATCCAAAAGGAAGAAATGTTTTTCTATTTTTTTTGAATTCTTGATTATTTCTTTCATCAATGTCTCATAATTTTAATTACAGTGATCTTTCATTTCTTTGGTTAAATTTATTCCTAAATATTTGAATTTTGTGGTTATTATGAATGGCATTTCGTTCTTGATTTCTCTTTCTGCAAGTTCATCACTGATGTATAAAAATGCTGCTGTTGAAATCAATTCCAAGATGGTAGAATAGGGAGGGAGCTTACTGCTCTAGTCTAGGGGAAGATAGTTAAAAAAAAAAAGTGGAGAAAGTGCAATCTCGGGGAAGAGTTAGAGAGAAAAGTGCAGAGGAAACTCCATGCAATTAGAGGGACACTGTGGATCTATGTGGACGATGTAGACCCACACAACTCAGGACCCCAGCAGCTGAGAGCTCAGCACCAGCGTTGGAGAGTGAAGTGAGACCAGACTGCAGCAGCCCACGCCACTGGCGATAAAGCTGCGAGAAGAGCCTGGTGTGAGTCTTGTTTGGAGCCCTGCGGGAGACAGGGTACCTGTCAATCTAGAAGAGAAAAAGGGAGAGGGGCAAGTTTCTTTGTCCCCAACAACCCAGCACCGGCATCCTGTAGCTAGCTGACAGTGGGCAGGCACCATTTTAGACATACATAACAGCTGTGCCAGCTCATGCCTGTGCCCCCAGCAACCAGCTGAGAGGAGACACCTGAGTCTGCCTGGAAGCACTGACAGGGCGCTGGGTGCTCATGAGTGTGGGAGCCTTATGTGTTGGGCCTGTGAAAACACTGGCTGTGTGAGAGGGTGCAGGGCATGGCTGGGCCTTTGGGCGCTCACGATGGGCAGTTCCACACACTTGAGGCTCCCTGATTTCCTGATGAGGATCATTGCTGTGGGATTCATGCTCACACAATGGGAAACTCATGGATTCTTTGAGTGGTTCTTGTGGCAGTGTGGATAAATATTATACCCAGTGGGGCTAGCGCCCAGGCATTGTTCTCCTTAAAGGAGAGGAAATGAGCATGAGACTACACCAAAAGAGCTGACCATATATATCTCCCATATGATAAAAACGAGAGAGATTTACCACACCTAACTTGGTGTCACTTTGGACGTTCCCCTCAACCGGGAGTACTGAACAGAGCCCCCTGGTTATACCCAGCACATGTCCCTGGGTATTCACTAAAAAAGAGCACACTCCAGTAAACCACTGAGGCATAGTCCAAAGATAAAAGCCATCACAGGGGAAAAACAAGTATCTCCACAAATGCCTAGAAATAAACACAGCAATTCAAGAAACAAGAAAAAGGAAGAGAACATGACATCCCCAAAGGAACGCAACACTTCAATACTAGAATGTGAAGATGAAGCGACTGAAGAAATACAGAAACAGAATTCAAAAAATTGAACGTAAGATTGCTTAGATTTAATCAGAAGTAAACCCCTGAATTAAAGAAATCTGTAATGACTAGATAGAAAAATTTTCCCATGAAATTGAGATTTTAAAGAGAAATCAAAATGAAATATTGGAAATGAAGAATTTAATAGAGCAAATAAAAAATGTGGCAAAAAACCCTAATAATTAACTCAGTAAGGCAGAAGAAAGACTATCTGAGCCAGAAGACAAATCTCTGGAAATTTTACAGTCAGAAAAATTAGAAAAAGGAAAAACAGTGTTGGAGATTTATGAGATACTATCAATGACCCAACATACGGCTATTATGAGTTCCTGAAGGCTTGCAAAGAGAGAATAGATTAGAAGACCTTGTAAGTGAAATAATTACAGAAAACTTCCTTAATTTGTAAAAAGAAAGAGATGTCCAAGTACAGGAGGCACATAGAACTTCCAACAGACATGATCAGAAAAGATCTTCACCATGACACATTATAGTCAAAAAAAAGATTCTAAAATGTGCACCAAAAGCAGTTTACAGATTCAATGTGATACCAATTAGTATACCAAGGGCATTCTTCTCAGATACAGAAAAAGTGATGCAGAAATTCATATGGCAACACAGGTGACCCCAAACAGCAAAAGCAATCTTATACAACAAAACAAAGCTGGAGGTATCACAATACCAGATTTTAAGTCATACTACAGGCAGTTATAATCAAAACACCCTGACACTGATGTAAAAACAGACTTGTAGACCAATAGAACAGATTAGCAATCTCCAGAAATCAACTCACATATCTACAACCAACTTATTTTGACAAAGGTGCTAAAACCAATCTCTGGAGCAAGGGCAGTCTCTTCAACAAATGGTGCTGGGAAAACTAGTTTTCCACATGCAGAAGTATAAAACAAGATGTCCACCTTACACCTTACACAAAAATCTACCCAAAATGGACAAAATATCTAAACCTTTGACCTGATACCTTCAAATTATGAGAAAACATTTGGGTAACCTTGCAAGACATTGGCCTAGGCAAAGAATTCTTGGAGACTCCAGAGGCACAAGCAATCAAAGCCAAAATTGACATATTGCTTTTACATTAAATTGAGAAGCTTCTGCACTACAAATGAAACACTCAGCAAAGTGAAGATACAACCGACATAATGGGAGAATTTGCAAACTAAGCAACTGATAAAGGATTAATAAACAGAATATACAGAGCTGCAGAAACAACATGCAAACAAACAACCCAGTTAAGAAATGGGCAAAGGACTTGAATAGGCATTTTTAAAAAGAGGAAATCCAAATGGCCAATAGATGCATGAAAAAATGCTCAGGATCACTAGCCATCGGGAAAATGTAATTCACAACCATAATGAGGTTTCATTTAGAATGGCTTTGATACAGAAGTCAACAAACAATAAATGCTGGCAATGACATGAGGAAAAAGGTACCCTAATACATTGTTGAAATATAAATTGGCACAGCCATTATAGAATACAGTATAAAGAAACCTCAGAATTCTAAATATGACCTATCATATGACCCAGCCATTCCACTCCTGGGGATTTACACATCAGAAATGAAATCAGCATGGAAAGACTTATCTGTACCCCCATGTTTCTTGCAGAACAATTCACAATAGTAAAGATATGGAACCAACACAAATTTCCATCAACTGAAGACTGAATACAGAAATTATGGATATCTATATTGTGGAATACTATATAATGGTAAAAAATGAAATCTTGCCATTTGCCAACAAAAATTGATGAAACTAGAAAACACTGTACTTAGTGAAATAAGCCAGCCCCCAAAGGGCAAATAACATATGTTCTCCTTGATCTGTTGTAACTAATAGAGCACCTAAAAGGTAATCTGTAGAAGTGAAATTGACATTTTGAGATGGCAATGACTTCGAACAGCCCTTATCTCAACTATTGAGTAAGTTT